GCATGTGTAGTGACTACGGATCTCTGATACACCTGGGTCCTTCCAGGGCGCGTCTCTCTGAACAGTGCGTCTTGTCATAGTTCATCTGGAACAACCCAGGCTGGGAGCCAGTCCTCAGCAACTCCGTAAGTCAGTGAGCAGCTGTGGGTGTTTATTTTTTAAGAGCATGTAGCTGTGAAGAACGGAAGAGTGGGGTCCAAGCAGAAGTCATCCGTCTGTGCTTTTAAAACAAATTGCTAAAACTCAATCATAATGTTAATTTTAAACATGGCATTTGTCCTTATTTTCAAACCACTGTGCAATTATGAAGGGCAGTTTGCCAAGTCTATATTTAAAATCTGTAGGCTTTAACTAATTTAAGGAAAGGTCCCCAAAAGAGGCAAATGCAAAGGAGTTCTCCCTACCAAAAGGGGATGTTGCTGGCAAACTCTAAGCATACACGTGCGTTTAGTTAAGAATAGACTCACTTTACTGGGAAAATAAGCATGGGAGAGTCTGATGGTCCCCTCAAAGTCACATAATTACTAACTGCTTTCACTAAGGCCTTGAACTTTCAGTTCCCTTTTTTCCAAAGAACTTTGAATCACAGGAGCAGTCATATGCACAACCCTCTGAATATGCAAATAAAAGGGATCTTGAAGAACAACAGGTGCAATTTCATCATTTTATCGATTAGGACACACGCTTGGTATATTGGCTGCAGTCTCTGGGGAAACATAATCAGTAGGCTATATATGTTTATATTTTTCAATAGGAGATATGTAATATGCGTATATTTATTGTAATAAATTGTTGTGTGTTATAGTATAGTAACATATTTATGATATAAGTTTCTTAGAAGGAATTGTCAAGCTGGAGACTGAGGCAATGGACAGGTTAGTTCTGGGCTGAGTTTGAGCCATAAGGCTGGAGGCGACCAGTGTTCTATCTCAGAGAGGATGGATCTCCCTCCCTCAGCCTTTGTGCTCTGTTCAGGGCCTCAGCGGAAGGGGATCATGCCCACCCACATTAGGGAGAGCCATCTGCCTTATGGAGTCTACAGATTCCAGTGCTAATCTCGTTACCCAAACACCCTCCCAGACAGACCCAGAAATAATGTCTAACCACATTCTTGGGCGCCCCCATTGCTAAGACAAGATGAGACACAAAATTAATCATCAGATGCGGGAGGGTGATTTGTGTCCAGTCCCAAGTGAGCCAGGTCAGGGCTTTGAGGACCTTGACGCCAAATTTCCAGTTCCCCGTGCTGTCCCTCTGCACGCCTTCATACCCTCAGATCAATGCATAGAAAAAATGTATACATTTCCTACATCTTGATTATCATAATTCTCATGAATCTAATTAGCTGTAGTTTTTGCATATTCAAATAATTAATTTATAACAAATTTCTGCAGTATCACACATATATACTTTTCCTCAAATGCTTAGAAACAAGAAGCTATTTAATCTACATATTTAGAAAAATACTTTAATGACAAATTAGATTTTTCTCCCCAATGAAAGTAAATGGTTCATTACTGAAATTCAGATTTCGTATCAGTGCACTGTCAATCTGTGAATATGATGTGGAAGATGGTATAGTTATTATTGAAGGTCTCAAGTATTACTCAGACAGTTTAGGAAGAAAGAAGGAACTATTTCTTTGAAGTGAGTTAAATAAATAGGGTGTTTTCTGTTGCTTTACTCTTGTCTTGCTTGTTCTTGTTACTAGAAAAGACTGTTGGATCTTTACATTAGCATGACTTATTTAAATCATGCATATATATTTATATATGATATAAACTACAGAGACCTTAAAAGCCATTTGAGTTTTTAGAGTATTCTAGAAATCAGAAGGAGTAGAGGATAGAGTTCTGTCCAAGTAGATGGGGGGAATGGGTGCGGCGTGTGCATGTGCTGGCCACTTGTGCCCTGGCTCACTGTGACGGATGGAGTTTACTGAGGACGGCTCCATGCAGGGGCTGTGATGAAGACATTAGACCTGAGACTTGGACGTTAGGTGACTTGACTGAGTCACGTGAGCACTAAGACGCTGAGGCGCGTCTCACCCAGGCTTATGTGACTACAACTCTTTCTAGCTACCACCGATTCAGCCAATGCAAATGAAAGGTGATAGAGCCACCTAGGTGCTTGTGAAACATTCAGGTTTCTGGCCTCGCTCCATTGACGTGGACATGCTGGCTCAGCAGGATCGGAAAGAAGTCCAGGGGCTGGTGTTTTCAGCAGCATCCCAGGTGTCACCGAAGCAGGTCGACCATGAACTTCCCTCGGAGAAACATGTCCCGTGCTCTGCTCTATTGTCCCATGTCTCTGGTCTCAACAGGCCAAGCCTTTGGGAGCTGGCTCCACTAACGCCCTTCACCCCTTTCTAGACTTCCGTAGTCCTGAGCTACAGAAAGCAAGAAATACATCAGTGACGTCTGCCTTGGCTTTTGGGAACGCCAGGAAATGTTAGATCACATGCAGACTCAGGATTTAAAGAGCTACCATGATGGTTTGGTTCCTTGCTTTGTTGCTTGAGTCTTCTTTCTGGCAGTCAGGCCTGGGTCTCTAGGGGATGGTTCCAAGGTCCTATGGTCCTTCTGTTTTGTAGCTCTGCCTTCATCATTAGAGCTTCTGGCTTCTCTGTTCCCCCAAATCCTGCCAGACTGTACTGTGAGTACCCCACGCCCTTAAGGCCTTCTGCAAACCCTGGGCAAGAAGAGTGAGCCCCTGTTGTGCTGCAGCTTTGCACCCGGTCACCAGCATCTTTCCATTTTCCCAACCTCCCTGCCCTGGTAACCATCGTTCCACTCTCTTGTCTGTGAATCCAACTTCGTTTTTAAGTTTATTTGTTTTGAGAGAATGAAAGAGAGCGGAGGAGTGGCAGAGAGAGAGAGAGAATCCCAGTCAGGCTCTGCACTGGCAGCAGTGCAGATGCATAACTGAGCCCCCCAAGTGCCCCTGTGGATTCAACTTTTTAAGTTGATGGGATCATGCAGTATTTGTCTTTCTGTGTCTGGCTTATTTCACTTAGCACAATATTCTTCGGGTCCATCCATGTTCTCACAGATGTCCAGCGTGGTGACTATATAGTTAATAATGCTATATTGTGTACTGGAAACTTACAGAGAGAGTAGATCTCAAGTGCTCTACACACACACGCACACAAACACACACACTCTCTCTCTCAAAAATAGGTAACTGTGAGGAGAAGGGTACGTTAATTAGTTTGACTGTTGTAATCATTTCACTGCATATCTGTATATCCAATCGTCAGGTTGTATCCCTCACATAAATGCAGCTTTTGTTACAAAGTACATTATAATTTAAAAAGAAGGGGAACTTTATTCTATTCATGCTTCTTCTCTGAGCCTCCAAGCTTGTCCCATAGCTGGGGTCCTGTGTCCAGACGAGAGCTTCCTGTACCCCCACCTGCTGAGTGCTGGCTCTCAGGAGAGTCTTGGTATTTTCCCGTCTCCCATCTGATGGACGTTAACTGTGGGTGAAAAATCTTGCTCCCATCACCTGCCTCACAAGTTCTGGAATTCTGGAATCTGCCAGGGTCCTTGGACTTCCCACCAGCCATGCAGTGATGTTGAAATCTTGCATCTCGGTGCTGCTTGGTCTCTTATCTAGTCCTATTTATTTTCCTTCCCTCTGGAGTCAAAATTTTCTGGAGTCAAAATTTTCTACAGATTAATATTTGGACCTTTAACTTCAGTTAGTTCTCTATATATCCATAAATAATTACTCTTGTGCATTCTCAATTGGTAGATTTGGTGGCCTTTAATAAGTGATTTCTCTGCCGTCCAGATCCCGTGGTCTGCCAGAGTCTGGCTCTTCCAAGCCATCAGGCAGTTATCCTTTACTCCTACAATAGTATCCTTTACTACTCATCCACATTGGGTCACTGGGTAAGCCTTTGTTTGCAAACTCCGAGTCCTAACTTGTAGCTCAAAGTCCTTAATTGCAAAGAAATTCTCCTTACTGATTTTGCATGTCTAAATTTCAAAACACACCTTGTAATATTTTAACACACCTTGTAAATATTTTAAACATATTCCTTGTAATAATTTTAAAGGTGAAGAATTGTAAAAAACATAAAGACAATTCTTATGTCATTCTGTACCCCACATGGGATCATTTTTAGAAGTCTGATGTTTATCCTTCCAAATGTCTTCTATGTGCATTGAAGTATGTCAGTGTATAGGTATTTACAAACGTGAAATGCCATCAGTTTTTCTAATACATATATTTTACTTCATTTTGATTGAATAGTCATGCTTAACTTTTCAAAATTTTTTTTTATGTTTATTTTTGAGAGAGAGAGAGAGAGGGAATGAGCAGAGGCGGGGCAGAGAGAGAATGAGCAGAGGCGGGGCAGAGAGAGAGAGAGAGAGACAGAATCTGAAGCAGACTCCAGGCTCTGCTCTGTCAACACAGAGCCTGACACAGGACTCAGACTCATAAACCGTGAGATCATGACCTGGCTGAAGTTGGACGCTTAACCAACTGAGGCACCCAGGCGCTCCAGTCATACTTAACTTTTACCTAATGCTTCTGGCAGAGCAAACTCTTAATAAAGGGTACTAGTTATTATCATTATTATAATTTTTATGTGTATGTTTTGCATATATATAAAGGAAGGTTCTTCTAAACTAGTGGTTCTTAACTTCGGCTGCGTGTTGAGATCACCAAGGAGCTTTAAAACCTTTTCCTGCCTGAGCCTCACCTTCAGTGATTTGGACTTAATTGATCTGGCATGTGGCCAAGGACTCAGGAGTTTTAAACACTCCCTAGGTGACTCTGTCCTACAGCCAAGACTGAGAACCTCTGTTCTAAACAATCATCAGTGTTAAAACGCAAAGTATTATTAGGAGCATCCCCTTGGCGAATGACGCCCATCCATTCTTAATTAAAGACCCGATAATCACATGACTTCCGATAGTATGAGGTTTACTTAGAACACAAACAAGCAACCATCCAGAAGGAAACACCCAACTGCTTTGTCTTTCCAGACGTACCAGCCCAGTGGGTGACGGAGCGGGAACCCACCTGCAGCTCTGAGATGAGCCCCTCCTGCCTTTTCTGCTTCTCTGGCCAACAGGACGGCGTGTGGCATCAAGCCCTTTCCACGGATGAGGGAGGCTGCCGAGCTGGGTGGTAAGCAGCAAGGGGAGGCAGCAAATGGCTGGTCTGTCGAGGTCAGTGGCACACGGTGTAGGAAGTAGATAAGGAAGGGGAAGAATTAGGATCGGGTTGGGAGGACGTCACTGGCTGGCCGCTGTGCCTCTCTAGACACGCAGTCACCAACGATGCCAATTCCAGATCCCAAGTCAAGAACCAGCAGAGGGAGGCCCCACTCAAGCGAGCCCCATGAGGGTCCGGCCTCACCCCCTCCTCTCCCCAGTCGGGAGTGACCTGGGCTAATTGCCAGGCAGGCAGGCTCCCCATACATGGGGACTCTCAGCATGCTGCCCTTGAGGCTCCAACAGTGGGGGTCAGCAGGCCAAGGAGGGATTCCAGGTTCCCCAGGAAGGGCGTCCTCAGAGTGGCTCAGGCGGCTCAGTCCAGTTTTCCTCAGGTACAGCTCAAAAGTACTACATATACATTCAGCGAGAACTTGTGAAGACACTGGGTTGGACCCTCAGCGGGCAAGAGGTAGAGCTTTTGTAAGTGATCAAGCACCTAGGTGCACACGTACTATTGTTTATTTCGGGTGTGGACAGGGAGAGGGTGAAGGTGTCCTGGCTGCGGTGGGCACGGAATGCCGCTGATAGCTGACATTTGCTCCTGGACACGCTGTGGAAGCCTGCTTCCCTGAAAGCTCTCCGACCAGGCAGAAGCACTTCATCGTTCATTGTTCCCCGGTAGCTCAGAGAAGGACGCTCTGTTCTTTATAAGAGTCAGAGTAAAGTGAAACAATGGAGATTGATAACTAGGATTTTGTATGTATACAATAGTGTACATACGATGTGCATAGATAATTTATTTGTAAAATCTGTTTTACAGATTGAGACATTTTCTCCAATTTTCCTTAAGAATTTTTATTGAGGGGGCACCTGGGTGGCTCAGTTGATTAAGCATCTGACTTCTGGTTTTGGCTCAGGTCATGATCTCCCAGTTTGTGGGTTCAAGCCCCAAATCGGGCTCCTCACTGGAAGGCAGAGCCTGCTTTGGATTCTCTCTCTTTTTCTCTGCCCCTTCCCCGGTCATGTGCACTCTCTCTCTCTCTCCAAATCAAAAAGATAATTTTTAGGGATGCCTGGATGGCTCAATCAGTTGAGCATATGACTCCTGATTTCACCTCAGTTCACGATCCCACAGGTTGTGAGTTTGAGCCCTGCATTGGGTTCCTAGCTAGCAGTGTGGAGCCGGTTAGGATTCTCTCTCTCTCTTTCTCTTTGCTCTTCCCCCGCTCACTCTCTTGCTCTCTCTAAGGTAAATAAATAAACTTTTTTTTAAAAGAATTTTTTAGCTTGTTTCCATCTTATTTTATTATTATTATTTTTAAATATAATTTATTGTCAAGTTGGCTAACATACAGTGTGTACAGTGGGCTCTTGGCTTCGGGAGTAGATTCCTGTGAGTCATGGCTTACAGACAACACCCAGTGCTCGTCCCAACAAGTGCGTCCTCAGTGCAGGGCACCCATTTTCCCCGCCCCCTGCAACCTCCCAGCAACCTTCCGTTCGTTCTCTGTATTAAAGAGTCTCTTATGGTTTGCCTCCTTCCCTCTCTGTTTGTAAGCATTTTTCCCCTTCCCTTTTCCCCGTAAACTTCTGTTCAGTTTCACAAATTCCACATATGAGTGAAAATATATAATACCTGTCTTCCTCTGACTGACTTATTTCACTTAGCTTAATACCCTCCAGTTCCATCCATGTTGTTGCAAAGGCAAGATTTCATTCTTTCTCAGTGCCAAGTAGTATTCCATTGTATACAGAACCCACATTCATTATTCCTCAATTAATGGACATTTGGGCCCTTTCCGTAATTTGGTTATTATTGGCTATAGCGTTGCTATAAACACTGGGGTACATGTGCCCCTGTGCATCAGCACTTCTGTATCCTTTGGATAAATCCCTAACAGTGCTATTGCTGGGTCATAGGGGAGTTCTATTTTTAATTTTTTAGGAACCTCCACATTGTTTTCCAGAGGAGCTGCACCAGTTTGCATTCCCACCAGCAGTGCAAGAGGGTTCCCATTTCTCCACATCCTTACCAACACCTGTTGTTTCCTGAGTTAATTTTAGCCACTCTGACTGGTGTGGGATCATACCTCAGTTTTCCTGATGGTGAGCATCTTTTCTTGTGTCTGTTGGCCACCTGGGTGTATTCTTTGGAAAAGTATCTATTCATGTCTTGTGCCCATTTCCTCACTGGATTATTATTATTTTTTTCAGGTGTTGAGTTTGGTAAGTTCTTTATAAACTTTGGATACTAACCTTTATCTGGTATGTCATTTGCAAATATTTTCTCCTATTCCATTGGTTGCCTTTCAGTTTTGCTGAGTGTTTCCTTGGCTGTACAGGTGATTTTCCTCCTGATGAGGTCCCAATAGTTCATCTTTGCTTTTATTTCCCTTGCCTCCAAAGACATGTCAAGTAAGACGTTTCTGCGGCCAAGGTCAAAGAGGTTGTTGTCTGTTTTCTCCTCCAGGGTTTTGATGGTTTCCTGTCTCACATTTAGGTCGTTCATCCATTGTGAGTTTATTTTTGTGTATGGTGTAAGAAAGTGGTACAGTTTCATTCTTCTGCACGTTGCTGTCCCATTCTCCCAGCGCCATTTGCTAAAGAGAGTATCTTTTTTCCATTGGATATTCTTTTCTGCTTTGTCAAAGATTATTTGGTCATACATTTGTGGGTCCAATTCTGGGTTCTCTATTCTGTTCCTTTGGTCTGCGTGTCTGTTCCTTTGCCAGTACCACACTGTCTTGATGATCACAGCTTTGTCGTAGAGGCTAAAGTCTGGAATTGTGATGCCTCCCACTTTGGTTTTCTTTTTCAACATAACTTGGATTTTTTGAGGTCTTTTGTGGTTCCATACAATTTTTAGGGGGTTGTTTGTTCTAGCATTGAGAAGAATGCCGGTGCAATTTTGATTGGGATTGTATTGAATGTGTAGATTGCTTTGAGTAAAAAGAGAATTTTTAGTGAAATGTTGTCTAAATGGTGTAGAACGAAATGATTCTCCTTTCTCCCTGCAGGGATCCTGTGGGAGGTGTCTGGGTATATGTGCCCGACTGAGAATTGCCCTGAGACTCACACAAGGTTTGCTGAACTTTGGTCTTTGGCAAACTTTCGAATAGCACCCTACATAGAAAAGGTTCTCTGAAACCATTTTTTATTGATAATTATAATATCATAAAAGTTGGTGACAGTGATGGACCATCAGTTTGGTGAGAGGTCCTGTTGATGAAAAGGAATCTACTTCGCGATTGTAAGAGACACGTGGGCTTTGGCACGACTCCAGTTATAATTACAAGCTCTGATTCAGTGACGGGCCTGAATGAAGGAGAAGGTCAAGCCTGCCTGCAGCCCAGAGTCAAAGCGGTGACTTCCCACGTGCTCAGATTCAATTACAGAGGGGAGGCCCCTGCCAGTTCTGGTTCTGTTAGTGCACTTTTGAGACACTCCACCTCCAGCAAATGCCTGTAGGCAGTTACGGTTGACAAACCAAGTCGGAATTTCCTGCTCTGGAGGGAGCGGAGGCTGCTGCTGAGAGCCATCGCTGGCAGCGGCCACTGGCGGGGGACTCCCAGGCCACCGCATGATGCCAGAGGTTATCTGGCAGTAACTTATGAAGATCAGACCTGGGAGCCACTCGGAAATCCACTTTTCTCTCTTTTTGGACTGATTCCGCAGACTCCAGGTTCTGGGTGAGTGCGATCCCAAGGTGCTAGGAGTCCTTTGGAAAATCTCTGTGGCACATAAAACACTGGCAAAGGGAAGAGAGCATGATTGTTTAAATGCTGCTCACGACTGCGCTGATAGGGATTTGAAAATAAAGAGAGGATTACAGCTCTCAGGATTAATATAGGATTAATCTCATTCTTTCTTCAATACCAAAGACCCAAATGTCCTGAAGGAGAAGTCGATGTTCTCTTTAAAAAAAAATACAGCTAATAATTCTATAGAATTATAATTCTCATGAGGAGATCATCTTTTGTGAGCAAGATGAATTAGGAGGAATTCATTCCCTCATCAGCTTATGTTCATGATTAATGTAAAGGTTTTTTATTGCCATTCATGGCAACAAGGCAGCACTAATTTAAAGAGTGCTGGATTCTGGTTGATGAACTGAATCAGAGTTTGGGAAGTAAGTTTCATGTTTACAAGTTAGAGGTTCCAGTGAAATATCAACTTGGAAGTGTTATTAGCACTGGTTATTAACCTTTGGAGAAAGAGAGCTCATCAACATTTTATTAAACCTATTTAATGTTGCTTTCTTATTTACGAATCATCATTCAGCTTGTGCATTTCACCCCAGGCAGCATTTTTGGGGCACTTTGTGTCTATTCTTGTCTTCATCTTAATATGCAATCATCATTGATATTTAAGATGTTAATATGTAGAGAGAGAAAAAGAGGAAAAAAGCTGTTGTCCATAAACTCTATTATTTTTGGAATAGGCCTCTGGATGAAAAAGAGGTTATTACTAATTAAGGGATCAATCTTGGTGAAGATTCTAACTATAGATATTCAGGACCCCGGATCTTGAAGTATAAGGTCCGTAGTAATAGAAGGCAGTAAGGGAGAGAGAATGCGTATGTATTATATATGGGACCACTGGAAATATAAGTGAATGGGTAGCATTTCAAACTCTGGAACCAGATAGATTTGGTTTCAGATTCTCATGCTGCAGTGTGCTGGTTATAAGACTTGGAATGAACTACCCAACCTCACTGAGCCTCAGTTTCCTCATCCCTACAATAGGGACAATGAAAGTGCCAAGGTTATAGGATTACTCTGACAATTAGCTTTTAATGCTCCATTCACATAGTACATCCTCAGTAAATGTATGCAACTGTTTTGGCTATTGTTGGGGGTCAAAATGATGGGTCAGATGAAGCAGGCACTAGGTATAAGAAGAACATCTGCTTTTGGCAGTGACTGAAACTTATAGCCCTTGGTACCTCCAAGATAATTTTAAAGAGGATTCAGGAGGAACCTGCCCCAGAGATATGGGGCTAAGGAGGAAAT